GCAAAAGCCTATTATGCTTGGCTGGAAGTCGGTACACCACGGAGAGCACCAAAATAGCATCATCTCACCTTTGTTTCAAAAACTTGGAACAGCCGCAGAAAAAAAAAATTCTAGCAGGCAGATATGGTCACAGTCTGAGGTGTTGCACTTTTCAGTCTCAAGGTTCCCTCACGATTCAATCACTGTTGTATTCCCAGATATGCTCGCTTTCCTGAACTCAATCTTTGAATGTCAAAGCACTTCAACCAGATTATAGGAGGCTCAGTTAAAGGCCGGCTTCTTTAATTTTACATGCGGTTTGATTGGTATTAATTAGTTAGCTTGAAAAATGCCTAGGAGATGAAAAAGACACCTCTATACTGATATCTTTCACTTTTATGGCAACGTTTTCTACACGCGGATACACCCACGATGGGTCCAACGAGATGTTACTGCTGGACAATCGATGCAGACTGAACAACAAGGAGGAGAGAAAGAAAACAATGCCATAATGCAGAGAAAAAATTTGTGAGGGGTTGAACAGAAAACGCAAACAAGATGCACACTGGCACATATTCCAAATTTTTTTGGTTTTTGTTTTTACAAAAAATGTTCCAACGCAAGTTTTGTCAAATCCCCATGTGCACAACTTAATAAGAACTTAATAAGAACGGGCAGACACGTGCAGTGAGCATTTCCGGGACAAGGAGTGATTTGGACAGGATGCCACGCAGGTGATATTAAAAACAAACGCCGTGCTGAGTATTTTTAAGGAGCATGAAGTGTGAGATGAGTTTAACTGCCTGAAGGAGGAACCCTGTCTCAACCTTTTGTGATTTCCGGCAGAAGCAGGCAGTGGCATTGTGGTCTTTATGTCCATTACGCGAGCGGAGTCCACATGCTGTCTACCGGACTTCCTGGTCAACTTGTGCTCTAAAAGTGTTTTTGTGCCATCAACCAGACCACCCAGCGCTGCATCTTTCACATTGAAAGTGGAAAATCTGGCTGGAAATGATATGGCTTCATTCTTTCAGGATTAATGCTTTGGATGCATTCCATTTGGCGAAGCTGTCTATCATAGCGCAGTCCACACACTTACAACAGTTATCTTGAGACATGTTCAATGAACATGACAGCCAGCTATACATTATTGTAAAATGATGTTTAAAGTTATTAAATGTGCATGAAAAATAATGACATTATCAAATTAATTATGGACAAAACAATGTACAAATGTGAAGTATCCCTTTAAAGGTAAAAATGACAGCTTTAATCAGCTTTCACTTGTCATTTATAATCATATGGGCAATTTCATGGAAGGCAAACGCGGGTTAGCCCTTTTAAAGTGAGTGGCAGCACGCAGCCAAAGATCATTTTACAACATTATAGAACAATTATGTGCTTGCAAGTACTGCAATGCTTTTCTATAAGTCACAAGAAATTGATGTTCTCTCTCTTGATACCACATCAAAGCATTCCACTATCCCACCCAAGAATGTTTTATTTGATTCTGTAACCTACTAATGTGCAAAGAATTATCCATCATTATCCTTATTATTGTTATTACAAAAATATTAATGTTAATTATTTTTTTTCTTCCCAATTACATTTACCATAAAACATTCTACCCGCCATCAGCATGCAAGATGAAAAGCACAAAATAACCTTAGAGGAAATAATAAAGAAGAATTACTTTGGTCAAGCTCTTTTAAGACAGAGATTCTGCAAAACTTCTGCATCGCCATCAAGCAACCGTGATGCCGGCATTTATTCACCGCTCAGCAAGGCAGTATAGTGCCGCGCTGTGTGCGCTCTACCGGTCTGTGGGTCATTTGGTACCAAGATTCAAGATTAAATAACTTACATTACTTCCGTTTTATTCATTTCGGAATCTGAAAGATGTTTTATTTTGAAAAATTACCGGATTCTCTGTTACAGCCGTCTACAGTATGTCACTCTTGACGCAGGTCAAGGCGCCCTTCTCGGTCACGTGATATGTTACCGTGAAAATGAAACCCAGGAGCTAGCAAAATTAGGAGACAGAAGAGGAGCCTCCGACTTTCAAGAAAAACAAGGCTACATTTAATAGACAGTATCAGGAGTCCTACTTAAAATACGGATTCATCTCAACGGGAGATTCCGACGCGCCAAGCTACTCTGCATAATATGCGGCGATGGTGAGTGGTATTTTTCATGCACTTTTTATTTACAGTGTATCTTATTTTGAAGGCACGTTGAAACGTTATCATAGCGACCACAGAGTGTTGCGGCCAGATAGGACGTTCCTCGTGTCATGATGCCTGTTTATTATTACATTTAGAAAACACCACAAGTTTCATGCAGGTCATATCATATTATTTTGGTGTATTTATCTGGCCGTTGTATTCATCAGGCTGGTCCCTGAATATATTGTCTGACATTAAACTGGTCCGTGGGGCAAAAAAGGTTGGGGACCGCTGCTGTAAACCACATATGTAATGACTGCAGATGTACAGTATGACGTCTGTGCCAGCATCTGTTGAGACAGAGGCAATAACTGTCAGACAGCAACAAGTGTTTTCAGCAAAACAGGGTTGGAGAAGTAACTGGGAGTGTGAAACGTTACTCTCTACCCCGGCATTGCAGTAGTCTTAGACAGGTGGCATGGCGCATCTGTTACAGTTCTGATACTACCTCTGAAGGCAGAAATGCCCAGGTCGACTTGGTCAGCCCCTTTATGCTCCCGCGCCCTTTATACAGACAAGAGAAAAAGCAGGAAAAGCGCATCTAGACAAATGACAGCACTGAGTGACAGACAGGGATCGCAATTTAGTATTTTTGATATTGGAAAAGTCTCCCTAAGAAGAGTTCTGACAGGTAATTTTATTCCCACTATGCAAATAAACTTCACAGAAAATGTCAAGATATAAATAAACACAGGAAGTAAATGAAGTTAATTTCAGGAAACACTAACTTAGACTTGGCTTTCTGGTGCTTTAAAACATTAAACCCTATAATTCAGTTCAGGAAAACTACTAAAAACTAACTATGAAATGATCGAAGTAGGTTCAGTTGACCGAGGGGGTCTAAAGCAAGATACAAGTTTCAGTTCCTCTCCTTTGAACATGTTTTCAAAATGCTAGAAACAATCAGCTCATCAGCGAGCTCTGTAGAGGCCTGAAACGATCATGATCGATTGGATCAGGTGTGTTGGAGTAAGGAGGGATCGAAAACAGGCAGGATATGGATCTAAAAGGAAATGGAGTTCCCTCCCCCTGGTGTAGCATAAATCTGGAATTAGTTTGAATTGAGAATACTGTACTCTGAGTACATCTGGCAAAAAAAGTCATACACAAGTTAAGCAATCAGTCAACATAAAACATTTGTCCACAAATGAATGAATCTGTGTACATCAGCAAGTATAATTTCTGATCTACACACATAATAATGAAATACTACGAAGACATAACCAAATTCAGATGGTCTCTTAGCTACCACATTGTTTAGACATCAGGGTCTCACATGACACTTCTCATGAGCAGACCTAAATTTGGAATCCAAGTCCACAAAGACTTCATTCAACTGTTACTTCGGGGGTACTAACGCACGAGGAGCTATAAAAAGAACCAGGAGAGCGCACTCACTCACTCACTCACTCACTCAAAGAACACAAACAAACTCCCATGGACATTTTGGCTCCGTCTTTTCAAAGTCTGGGGGAGAAAAATCCATGAGACGTTCAAAGCTGGGTTGAGAGCCGGGATATTTATAGGCCACAGAGGGAGAACTCTTCCATTGTGTAACAAAAGGGAGACACACTCCTAACACCACTGAAAGTGACACTGAGGCTTTGGAGCATTTGAGAAACTCTCTTGTTTACCCTGATTTGATGCAACTGGGTTAGCCATTGATGTCAATGTCACAAAAGCATAGAAAAAAAAATTTCAATGTAATACAGTGGAATCCAAAAATCACGTTTATGAACAAATCAGGTGTATATGACCAAAATTTGCAGACAAAATTTGCTACGAACAGCCACAGCCGAAGTTCCGCTGTCCAAGTGTAAAAATAAGTCAACCACTGTTACTAAGGTTGAAAAGCGTAAAGATAAGAACAAACCATAAATAGTAAGCAGCGACTCATAGAGAGGCTTGAATGTTCCTGCTTTGCCCCTGCTAACTTCACATAAATTTCAGAGTAAAAGCCAAAGAAGAAGCAAAACCCATGAGCTGAGGTAAATCCCGTAACACTCTGTCCTGAGCTGTTGTGAGGACATGATGGCATCAGTGTGCAAGTTTTCTGCAACTTTCGAGAGACACCGTGGTTCACTTCTGAATTCTGACTATTAAGATTTCACTGCAGTGGAAAAGCTCAAGACAATCCACACTGCTGTTCGCTCCAGAAACCTCAGGTGACAAATGAAACGCTATTAGATCTTGTTTGGTTATTAACCGCAACATTCGCAAAAATCTATGACACTTATATAAGATTGTGTGTGTTGGGGGGGAATAATAATTATCACCCTTTGCTCAGGTTTTATTAGAGATGGCAACCAGACAACAACGTGGGCTTGTGTCGTGAATCTCCTGTCTCACTGAAATCTTGATCATGTACTCACTCACACACACACACACACACACACACACACACACACACACACACACACACACACACATTGAAATCTTGATCATTTATTCACATACACACACGCACACACGCGCACACACACATACAGTACACGCACACACGACACGAGAGAGAAAGTGGGCCACGGCAAACACACAACAGGAAACGTTGAACATAAAGAGCCACTGAGTGTGTTTATGAGAACTATGACAGCCTCGCGTGTTTCTGCGCGAGACTGTTGCAGTTTAGGCTACCGCGGGCGACTTGAAACGCGCGAGTCGTGACAAGCTGAAATGTTGGAAGAGTAACGCATACAAAAACGTGTCTGAAAACGTAAAAGCAACAAACAAGTACGTGCACAACGCAGGAAAGGGGGCGGGGGGGTTAAGGGGGAAGATGGGAACGGAGAAACTCACATCCTCGAACAGGGATCCGACGTTGGCTGTCACTAGCAGTATTCCTGTGCCTTGCGCCGTAGTCAGCTTTCCAGCCATGATTCTCTCCTGCAGGTGGGTAGAAGACTGGATGGCGAACTTCACGGGTAGGCAGTCAAAACAGCGAGCGGAGGCGGACGTCTAAGAAAGCTGCTTAAAACACGGGAAATTCGCGACTGACGCCGGGGCTGAGGTGGTGGCTTGGCTGGAGCATATTTTTCAGCAGTGACCGTGCATCTCCAAGGAGTTGCTTTGCAGTGCAAGGTCCGCTGGCGACGGTCGTTGGCGTGCTGCTTGTCGCGCTACTTTCACATCTCCATCGTAAAAGTTTCCGTTTTAATCCACGGCGAGCGTCTGCGGGGTCTGCTTCATTTCAGGGATCAACCTTTTCCTTGCTTGGAACAGTGTAAAAGTGTCCCTCGTGAAGCAGGACTCTAACCAGGACCATCGCATTCAGTGTGCACACGCGATAGGCTGGATTCCCGCACTGCTGTGACGTCACGGTGCCAATCGGAAACACGGGGCTCTCTTAAAGGGCCAATGCACTATAAACACAGATGTTAAACGTGAGGTAAACTGGCCTGAAACGCATATGGTTGACAGCAGGGGCGAGTCTAGGATGACAACTTTAGGGCTGTTGACACAACAGAGCACATCTGATAGTGGGGCATCCGGTCTACATATGGGTAGAGATGTGTCACAAAATTATTCACGCAAATAAATCCGCGACTTTCACATGTTTATCAGGTCAACAAATTCAGATCCACAAAAATATTGGTGAATTGCAAATGTGTTTTTTTAGATTCAAAAATATTTGCACAATTTCCACGTGCTTTTTTAAATGATATGTATGCATTTATCATGACTTATCATTTGTAAATGTTCAATTCTGCATGCCAAGTGTTGAATGTGCATTTGTTGATCAGGCACGCGCATTTATCTTAGAGACAAACCTGGCAAACCGTTTCAAGATATTCACACACACACAGGCAGGGAATGTGGTGGTCATCGGGAATTTTGGGAAAATGTTTGGATTTCCCGATTTAATTTCAAATTGCCTGTCTGTATCGTCACTGGTCAAAATGTGCCCCCCACCCCATCTGAGCGTGATGTCCGAACGAACCATGTGCCTCATTGTTGATTAACTCGCATAGCCTCACGCCAACCATTGAAAAATGGAAAACGAGCCTTCATCTCATCTTCTATAATGTGTTTATTTAACCCAAGTCGGGAAATAAAATATGACTGAAATTTGTTCCCTTTATCTTGTTTTGCCTTGACAAGGAAGACCTTCTTCTGCTGCAACCTCTTCATGTTTTACGTTGCTGCAGCAGCGAATAAAGAGAAGGTCTTCCATGTGAAGGCAAAACAAGCTTGAGAGAAACAAATTACGATTGTACTTATTGTTGCGAACATACTTCTGCTCCACTCTTCTGCCAATTTATCAGTAATAGAGGGAAAATAAGTGGAGTGAATATAATGTTGCAAGTCCACTATCCAGTGTGTTCCCCGAAATTTTCGACTTGCGCCTCTAAAATTTCAGTTAAGAGAGAGAGAGAGAGAGAGAGAGAGAGAGAGAGAGAGAGAGAGAGAGAGAGAGAGAGAGAGACAAACAGAGAGAGAGAGAGACAGACAGACAGACAGATAGACAGACAGACAGACAGACAAAGAGAGAGATAACGTGTCCAAGTGAGTGACTGTGCAGTTAATACCAGGCTCTCTTTTGCATTACTGAATTAGTTGTGGACCGAAGACGAATATTTTCACGTTTTTATGATCACCTGCCCAGGGAGCTTAATTCAACGTTCATTGTGATTATTTGGCCACAAACACGTTTAACAGCTTCAAACCATATGAAGTCTTCACAGAGCCTGAGAAATGTGAGGGACCCTCATCAGAATGTGACAGGCCAGGATGGGACGTAATGGCGGACGTAGGAAACGGCGAGCTGAACCTAAGAGGACCTTTGAGCCTTCAGGACCCAGCAGCCTCACTCACAGCCCGTCACTGATACCAGGATAGACTATGAGAAAACTTCACAAGACATGAAGACGGAGGGAAGAAAATAGCCCAAGGTCCCAAGGTGCACTCCGTTTCAGGCAAACGGAGACGGAGATGGACTCAGAGTTCCTGATGACACTCACTTTAACACAACATTACATGTATGTTTCAGTGATGTGGGACTTCATTAGATTTTATAAATCCAGGTCATTTCTTTCAATGTTCTTTTTTTCTTCTTTTTTTTCGATTTTACAATACAGTGTAGTGTTCTTTTTACATTGCGCAGCTAGTGTCAACTTTTCAAACAGGTTATTATATATTAAAATATATGTGATTCTTGGATAATGTATTAAAAAGAATACATATGGCATCATTCTGTGTTGTATTCTGCTCCCTTGTTGCAGCTGTTCCATTTACACAGCCCTTGATACAGCCCTGTTCCAATTTCCATGGCCAGCTAATCAGCCAAACACTCTTTTTCCGTCTGCGTGTGGAGCTACGTTTCACTAACACCAATTCATGATTTTCACAAGAGTCTCAATGGGGAATTTATGACTGCCGAAGGAGGGTTTAAAGTGCTTCTTAAAAATACCATCAGAGCTTGAAACTGATGTTGTTTCTGCAAATAATGAAATGGGCCTGACCTGACACGCATGTTCTAACATGTTGTGCATCAGACGTAAGACTATAATTGCTCTTTCCATTCTGGGAACAATCCTACCGTTTGCTAAAATATATACGTCACGCAGTCCTTGATTTTCTCAACAAGGCTTGAAATAATTGGGGTTTTTTGTTTGCAAACCAAATACTGTACTTTATTTTAAGGCGCACCATTCTAATTTTGAAGGGCTTTTTTCATGTTAATCCTAAGGACCTGAAGCAAGTGTTATATTGAATTTAAAAAAATATGACAACATAATGAATGAACAAATGTTTTTTTTCTGTAGAATTAACAGATTTTAATTCTTAAATTCACATTAGGTATAGCAGCAAACCATATTTTCTTGTCTGTAAGCAAAGCTAAAAAACATTGTTTTAAAAAGCTCAACAATAACATTTATTCTGCAGGTTTTGTTGAATTATAAATATTTTATACAATATTGAGATACTTTTAACTTTCAAGGTCATCCTGGCTGCCAAACACCTTAACAGAAGTTATGTTTTTCCAGTTTTGGTTCTGTTTAGCAAGTATTAATTGTCATGCTGTCTTGTTGATCAAAGTTGGATGTTTTCGGCTTCAGCGCAGTTCCAGCTAGAAATCAGTGAAAAGTAAAATCGATCACCCAAGCACTTAATTGCAGTATTAAAACATGCGAGCAGATTCACTTTTAGGTTGGCTTAGCATCGCGCGTGGCTTCTACGACTTTTCTTGTCATCCTTTCACAGATACTACTCCCCTCAGGCAGGCGCTACAGATCCATGCGCACCAAATCCAGCAGACACTTAAACAGCTTCTTCCTTCTAGCCATTAACTCCCGAAACAGTCACTGACGTAGTCGCTCTTCTTGTACAACAAATACTGCTACTGGTCACTCTAAAATGGTTCAATGATTTTCTGCACCAACTGTACAACTGTCATAGTATTGTATTCTACCACTGATCACTTTAGCTCTGCTTGATACTTTGCACATTGTCTCACAGTTGTCACTGGGTGGTACCACCGCACTACGGTTCACTTACATTACGAAATGTCCTTCCATACCTATTTGTCATGTCCTTGTTTATGATGATACTAATGCAGCGTGTTATACCAGAGACAAATTCCTTGTGTGGTCTACATACTTGGCCAATAAAGATGATTCTGATTCTGATTCTGATATGACATTTGTTTATTTGCTGCCACGCAGGCGATGATTACTGACTAGGAGTGACTCGGAAACATGTTTAGGTCCATTAGTAGCCAGACAAAGCAGCTTCTACGTAAGTAGCACGGAGCTTCCCTCAACCTTCGACTACCATCGGTAGGTGACGTGAGCACAGCAAAGCCTTACGGGACGGTCTTGGAGGTTCTTCTTCTATTTTCTTTTGATGGTTGTCTTGGCAGTAGATTAACAGTTTATGACACCACTCACTTCCATATTGTGTATATAT